TCGACCGTCTCACACTTTGTTTAATTAGTTTTCTGTTTGACGTTTATTCAGCTGTGTGAAAACCCCGGAGGAACCCTCCCGAGGGATTAATAAAGTTAAATTTGATCTAATCTAATAACTTTAATCTCAGCCAAACCGATTTTCTCACGAACAAATAAAACACTGAAAAAGCCATACAATAACATTTAACATTAAGTTATCAAAGTGACTTATATATCATGTTTAACCCGAGTAGTGAAAGACCGCTGGGGTTTGAAAACGATGTGTCGGTTGGCTCAAATATTTGAAGTTTACACAGCTACATTCTCACCTGAAAATATGTTAAAAGTTTTTTTGCGACCCAGAAAGAAAAATAAGAGTAATATTAAAACTAAGTAGCTGCCGCCATTGTTGGAAACTGGAATTGGCTGCTCCTCTCTAAAACAGCAATAAGGATCATTATTAGGCCATATGTAAATAACAAAATAACTTTATAACTTAAAGCAAAATTGGGAAATGTAAAGTCTGAAACAAGTCTTTATATTAAGGGCCATCAGTCAAACAATACTGTTTGGTCTGGGTCTAAACAGAGCGCGTTGTGTGTGACGTCTTCTGCGGGCTGCTTTGAGGGTTCACACTAGAGCGCGTTTGCTGTCACATTCTATTTGTAGTGTGAACAAGCAGACAAAAAAAATCAAATTTGGTCAAAAAAAAAGGAATTGAGCATTAACACCTGCAGTGTGAACGTAGCCTAAGTCTCAACATACAAACCACAAGTGTGCATGCCACTATAGGGATGCACCGATACCACTTTTTTGGAAACGAGTACGAGTACTTGCATTTCAGTACTCACCGATACCGATACCGAGTACTTAATAAAAACATGATTTAAATTTACAGGTAACAGCTTTAGTCCTATAATTTAACAAAAAAAAAACAAGGGACTGGTTTGGAATTAAGAACATTTATTTAAAATGAAAAGCATGTTGTATGCAACATATTACAGAATAAATAATTATGAAAAAAAATTTAAACAGTGACAGTGCAACTCAAGTATTTTTTTTCAGTTTATTGTAAACTCTGCCGCTTTGGACAACACAAGGGGTATTAACAAACATCTTTGCCATTTAGTGCACAATATTTGAATAAACTAACAACATCCACCGACATAAAACTGTGGCAGTCAGTGCAATTGAAGTAGGTATTAACATCAAGTCTAAGATGACTCACTTAATGGAGAGAAAAAGTGAGTGGCAGGGTTTTTTTTTAAGAAAAGTAGCTTCTCTGCATTATCAGCAGTCAGACTGTTTCTGTTTTCATCTATAATGTGTGACACTGAGCTAAAAAGCCTTTCACTTTCCACACTGCTACATGGGGCTGAGAGTTATTTACGGGCTATTTTAGCCAAAGTGGGGAACCTGATTTTGTTGACACCCCAGTACTTCAGAGGACTGTCTTCACGAGGGCTTGGGGCCTCTCCGAGGTATGTGTCGAGCCTGGGTCTGGGCCTTGAGGAACAGTTTAGCAGGAGGTTCTGCAGCTTCTGCCCGACTCCCCTCTGCCTCAGCTCTGGACATCATCCGCAGCTCCTGCTTCAGGTGCAGCTTGGCCTCTGGAGCAGTGTTGTTGGAGAAGAAGCAATCTTTATACCTGCACAAAATTCATAAATGTATTAATATGTGGAAAAAAAGGACTGATTTTAGTTTCCCATAAACCACTGTGACAAATGCCAGCCATTTGACTTTCTGGTAATAATAAGGGAAATGTATTTCATATTGTACATATTGTATACATTTGTATTTGTGTATTTTAGTTACAAATATATAATATTTCAGATGTAAAATAATCTTACATTTAGTACTGTAGCTATACTCATTGAATACCTATAGCACACAGACTTTACCTTGGGTCGAGTATGGTGGAGATGAAGTACAGTGGGTTGGTCTCGA